TGTTATTATTTGCAGCACAATACCTATGCTGTATCTTAGAACACATTTGGTTTGAAATTTTTTACATGGACTTTAAAAGGTCTTTTTTTGCATAGATTTAGAAAGAAGTAGGAAAGAAGACCAATAAATAATTAATTAATTAATAAATATTGCAGAATCTAAACTGTTCGGGATTTATTATACCACTTGGGGTCACCTATCTTTTCTGAGGAACTGTCCAGCATAGTCAACATAGTCTTGTCTTTCTACCTGCCCCTTTTTCTCTTCTTTCTTCCTTCTTTCTATTTCTTTTGCTGCTGCCTTTCTTCATAGTTTAGCTTTAAAGGCAACTCCTTAATAATTTTCTTCTTTTATTTTTGAAAATAGTTAATTAATTAATTTAGACAGAAAGAAAATTAACTCTTTCTCTCTGTATTGAAATGATAAAATTCTTTTATTATATGATAAAAATATCTTTTATCACAAAATAAAAATTTTGTCTTCTTTGAGGGATCCAAAAATGGATATTCTTTAGCACTGAGTAAATACAGCATTTGTGGTGGAAGCAATTCAGACTATAAAATCCCCAAACCTTTTCCTTGCTAATGTTTATTAAATTAATATTTGCTTCCTTATGATTTTTTCTTCCTTTATATTTGACCATTAATTATAAAGATAAGCAAATGATTGGGAGGAAACAAAATGATAGAGTGTTAGAAATGCAAAATGATTCAAAATATTAATGTATTGTTAAGGATGACTGGGTAACAAATGGTACATTTGCCAGTATGCCTGACCTGACACAATTAATATTCCAGGTCATGCTTGGGTTTCCATGATGGAAGGTCTGAGGCAGAGAATTCTAGGGGAAAAATATATCTATTGTACAACTCATTTCTCTCCCTCACTCTTTTTTTTTCTTTTTTTTTTTCTTTTTCCTGACGAGTCAGAACCATAGTCTTAAAAAAAAATAAATCTCTGCTTTCACACCTCATTTGCCATATTCACCACTGGGCCACTGTTCACCAGAAGGGCCTGATGTAAGGAGGTCAGTAGGAAGCTATTAGCAGAGTCCCCTCCCGAGATTTCTTTGGTCTCATTGAGGTGAAAGTTAGCATGACAGTATTGCAAATAACTCAGTTGTAAGTTTTTTAACAGTTAGTACAGAATTCCCCATAGTGTTTGTCACTTTGGAAAATTGTTCCTGGAAATGAAGTCCTGAAAGCTGGCTTTGACAGAATCCCTTCTTAGTGTTGAAGATCATGGGTACAGAAAAATGTGTCATCTTCCTGGCAGACTAGAGGTACATTTTTGTAATCTATGGTAATGTTTTGGAGCATTACATATTTTTTTATGGACTAAATGTGGGGAAAATATTGATATCATAGTATGGAGTAATATCCAAGACACATACTTTTCTACCGTTGAAAAAGCAGTATTAAGTACAATGGTTTTGTAGTTGAGAGAATATTTTATTAAAGTAGGGAAAGAAATGAAGTAATGCTTTTAATTCATTGTATTTGTCTCAAGAAGATATGCAAATGTATTAACTACCAAAGGCTTTGATCCCCCAAATTCTTAGATTTCTGCCAGCTCCCTGCAAAGGAAGGAGTGAGTAGGGTATTCATTATCACATTGCACAGTGCAACAAATTCCAAAAAACAAGACTAAAACTTGAAGAGATATTATTAAAAAAGAATGGAAGCAATTTCATCTAACTAGAAGGTAGACTCAAACTTATCCCCTTGTCTTTCCTATGAAACGTTACCAATTTTAAATCTAGGCCTAACCTTTCCACAAACCTTGGGGAATTTAGAGTAAATTAATATTAATTTTGTCTGTCTAGATACTAATTCTGTTGGTTGCTCTGTTATGTGTCTTGTTGAATACTTGAACATATATAATTAAAATGTAAAGTAATTAACAAGGATTGCTTGAAAAGTCATTATTTAAATATGCACTTTGTAATCAATTTTGACCCAGATCTTACAAAGAGTTTCATCTGTAGAAGAAGCAAAAACTTCTAAAGTATCCAGCTGGCCTCTCTAAATTACAAATCTGTTTTCATAGTTGATATAATATCTGTGTGCATTTAACTAGAGAATATGTAAAAAAAGTGCAACAAAAGATGACTCTTTGTTAAGACACCTTTTCAGCAATAATAATTCCAAAGATACTCAATCAATGGATTCCACATTCATTATGGCTAATTTTATTTCATTAAAAGTGCTAAAAGCCAATTTTATTAGTGCTCCTGGAGATATTCTGTAGCATTTCACATTGCTTGAACCCTTTATGAACTATGGTTTTTTATTACTGCCAAACATTTAATCAAAGAAGCACAAAATACAATATACACAGTATTTTAACAGAGATTGCAAAATGTAGCTTCAGAAAGCCATTTTACTCATGGAGACACACTGTCTCTCAGGGTGACTAAAGGAAGTGCCTAGACAGAACATAGATTTAAATTTATCCTTGCATTTAATTTTTCAGAGGAATAACATTGAAATTATTTCAGCTATTGTATTTTTACACTTCGGAGCAACAGAACCCAAACCCCAAACCTGTGTTATGTAGATTGAAAGATCTAATACTTTATTTTTTTCAGTTAAAAAAATTAAAATATTTCCTCCTCAAATTGCTCTTCAGCATTTTTTAAATTTTATTTTTTTTTTAAGAAAAGGCTTAAGAAGAGGTGTAAATTTTGTGAAAACACAGGCCTGATCAGGATTTGCTACTGATCAACAAATCCATGCCTGCCAACTTTAGAGAGTTGTTATTATGCTTTAGTGTTTTCTTTCAGATCTCCCTGATTCTCAGTGATGAGCATGGTGATGTTCCTCTTCTGGATAATATTTAAATTTTCAGTGCCATTGTCGCTTTCTATAAAATATACATTTCACAGACCTACCATGAGAGCAGTATCTCTCCCCTGTAGCTGGGAACTTCTGCACGCTCGTGGCATGGCTAGAACACAATCTCCACAGCTGAGTATGGATGGTGTAGGAAGGGGTGGAAAAATGAATCAACAACATAATGAGCAGTTCAGTGCAATATGTAAAAAAAGAGTAGTTGCAGGCTATTACTTTTCTATTTACTGTTATCAACATTAGTTGTTAGTGAAGACAAAAAATTAATTGGTCATAATGTAGGCAAGGTAGCTACCACAGCTACCAAAGGCTGTGGTAGGACTAATGAGTGAAGAGATATAATGACCATGGTATAGAGATGGTTTGTGTATCTCCAGAAAGGGATCTAATTTGTGTGAATCTCATGTATTCCATTTGTATGGAATTTGTGTTGACTGTGGCATTTTATATTTGAGAGAACTTGTGCAAAATGTTTATGGTGTAACTGCAATCAGTAATTGTGGGAGAGTGCAATAAATTCCAAGACAACACATGGAACTTATCTTTATGTAGCACTTGCAGATCACCAAGTGTTCACAGGCAAAACTCTACTGGGCTGATAAGAAAATTGCAATATAACAATGATGAAGTACTATGAAAATAATAACAGCATGAGGAGAATCTGTAACTTTATGAGATATTTACATAAGAGCCAGACTTGCAGAACAAAAGATTAAGTTGCAGCTGGACTTTACAGATCATAGAGATGGACCTGAAATTTCACATTCACTCCAGTGATTCTGCTTACCTGCTGTTTGAAGCATGGATCCCTGCCATTCTAATTTGGCATCCTGAAGAGCTGAAGGAACAGCCAGTGGTTGTTTAGCATACATATGTTTCTACCACTTACCTCTATTCATCTCCTCTTCCCCACTGTACATTTTGCCCAATAGTGAAATAGCTTGTAGGGTTTACTCTAAGAGGGGAACAAATAACAGAGGACCAAAATAAATTGTCATTAGACCCATATAACTTAGAGATGAAGAATGCACCCTTTAAGATTTTGAGTAGCCCAACATTATTTTGAATAAGCTAGCATCTCTGAATACTTTTGTTTATTAGACACTATGTTTATGTGCCTTATTTAATTGTTTTGATGCAAGAAACTGGAATTTCCCAGTAGGATATGTTAATGAAAAATGCACTAGATCTCACTGGGGCTATTTCTGCCCTCTCAGCCCCAAGAGTTTAATACTTTATGAGGAGTCTGATGCCTTACACAGTTTTCTCATGGGTCCTCATGGAGCAATACAAGATTTTAAACATTTACTCTTTTCCTTAACTTTCCCCACATCTTGAAACCAATTTCTTTTCCTACTACTTTTATTCAAGGTTTATTAGTAATTAGAATTATGATAAAAGCGAAAGACAATATATTTTAACTGAGCAAGTCTCCTTTAAAAGTTTTAGTATATCTTTGTAGAAAATATAATTATCTTTAAAGCAGCTAAGTATCTGAATGATTTTATGTGTATTTCAGTCATATGTTATCTATTTTATAGGAAATTTACTGGCTTTGTGCAATATGGAAAAGGATTTCTCATATTTAACACTTCATAATTAATTTAGCAAACTCACATATGTCTATTTGGGAATTGTTTATATACAACTGATAAAATCCCTACATATATAGGTATGATTTGGAAACAGTCTGTCACATAATTTTGACTTGCCAGATATTCACAGATTGTTAATGATGTAGATTACTAAAACAGAATTTGAAATGTGTGTTTTATATTAGCAATTGTTATATTATACCACACTAGTCATACAATAAGTGATGCAAAAAAAAAAATCAAATTCAGTGATGAATGAACCTTTCTATTTTAGTAATAATTTAGAAATCATTGTGCAAAATATTTGTTTTTCACATGTTTTATGCTATTAAGACTAAACACATTGTAATAGTTATTCAGGAATTTATTGTGGACATTTTGTTGGGAAAAAAACAATTTGGTTTTGGTATTCCATAAATTCTCTTCTATTTCTCCCTAACCAAGGACTGTTTTACTTTTGAAAGTGCAGCAGGTGCCACTGTCTGGTTTTGTTCCTAGTGTATGTAGAAATTTAAATGAGTTGAAGTCAAAGATAATCCCATTTTCTGCTCAGATTCCAGGCATCTACAATTCGCCATTCAAAAAATCCCCAGATCCAATGGAACTGCTGCTACGGAAGTCAAAGCCACTGACCCACAGAAAGCAGCAAGTGAAGAGTCCCTTTGCTGAGCTCTATGACTGGCCAACATGTAAAAAGCCTCCAGCTTTTGTCACAGCACTGCCTCTGCTACCTGCTGACAGACAAAAACCTCAGGTAATATTTTCCAGTGACTCTGAGGCAGCTTTTGCTCACATCTTTTATCATAGATTATCACAGAATATCTTGAGATGGATCACTAGGTCTGAAAATCCCTTTTGTGATTTTTTAAAAAAATATAAACCTAGTGCTTGCATTGAAGATATAAAGTCTTTGATCCAGATTTGACTTAAAGAAAAAGAAATCTAGGCGTTATGTAGGAACAGGCAAATATGATTCTTGATATGTTGTTTTTGTCCTTTGGGAAGAAAAGTGTAATTTATGATATTTCAAAGGTATGACCTGATATAATTATCAATATTAGGATTCATTAGAGCTAGAATTCTTAATTTCCAATCTTAAATAATGAAAAAACAAAAAAGAGAAATGAAAGGTGATAGGAAAAACAAAGCACTTGTGATAACTTTTTCCTCAGTTTGCAATTGTTTTCCATATGAAGACTGAGACGCCCTCTCAGTTCAGAATAGTTGCTGCTCTCTTGTGTCCACTAAGTGTGTGTCATCTCTAATTACAAAGATTTCTACATGTTGTGCTCCATCACAGACAAGTTTCCCAGCTTCCAATCTTAACTGTCATGGTCACGATTTTAACTTCAGTTGGTGTCACCTTATCTTGCAGGTGGATTTTTTTCTTTTCTGTAAAGTAATGGACATCTCTGAGATAATGCACCAAAGTGAATGTCTCACAAGATGGCAAAACAGTTTTTGCCACCTTATTATCAAAAGCTGCTGGGAACATGACCAATATATACAGCAGAAAAACTTTTGAGACCTTTGTGTTCCACACTTGATGACAGTATGATGACATGTAGCTTTTGCCAGTAGGTGCCTGATGCATTTACTTTTGGGATAGAAATACTCTGTCTTTCCCTCTGTTCTGAAAAATTTTTCAATTTTCCCAGTCTACTGAATCTCCTACTTAGCTCACACAAGCACTTTCCATGCTGATTTCACTTTGAGTGACACAACATCTTCAGAACCTCTGAAATTTTCCCTTTTTGTACTCCATTCTATATTTAAATTTCCTTATCTGTATCTTGCTTAGAAAGAAAATACTTTTGAATGAGTTCTTCATAGCAACTTTCAGTGAAGCTATTACCTTATCTTCAGGAATGTAACAATTTGAGAAATAAGCAATGTATGTATATCTTTAATGGTGTTTTGCTCCTCTGAATCAATATTGCTCTATACAACTCTTTGAAAGGAGGCTGTAAGCCAAGTGAGGGTTGGTCTCTTTTCCCAGGGAGCCAGTCACAAAACAAGAGGACATAACATCGAACTGTACCAGGGAAGCTTCAGGCTGGACATGAGGAAAAATTTTTTTCACTGAAAGGGTGGTCAGGCATTAGAACAGGATGACCAGGGAGCTGGTGGAGTCACCATCCCCAGAAATGTTCAAGAAATGGGTGTACATGGCACTTAGTGCTATGGTTTAGTTTGACAAGGTGTTTGGTCAAAGTTTGGACTCAATGATCTTTGAGGTCTTTTCCAACCTTTATGATTCTGTGGTTCTAAGAAGGTGCAGGCCTGTGAGAATACCTCTGAGAAGTAGAGGTGAGCCCTCTGCTTATAACAGTAAGAATCAACTTCAGGGCTACCTTTGTCCCTCCTTCCCTACCTTGACTGCTCGAGCTTCTTCATAGAATGACCTCATTGACTCACAGTAGAATTGAGACAAAGTGTGAGCCAGCAAGCAGTTTGGGTGATCAGGGAGTTTAGAGCTGACATAAACATGACATTATAGCTTTACCGTCTGGGACCAAGAGGGCTATAAGAGTCCTTGAGCAGGATGTGACTGGTTGCATTGTCTCTCAGGAAAGAGGAAAGATTTTGCCTTGTGGACATGGTACAGGAATCAGGCTTTTAAATAAATAGGGAAGTCACAGTTCTTCCATTGTTAAGCTGCTCTTTCAAAACTGCTTTACTGTATACAAAGTATCTTACAAGCTTCTGCTTGGATTTGGAATATTTTATAGACCTTTCTATGTTCAGATGCACGCACAGCAGTCATGCACAGATAGCCTTTTAGAACAAACCAGAAGAGTTCTGTTTATTTTCTGCACCTCAAAGAGGGAATTTACTATATAATACTTTAATCCTTTCAGCACCCTGGGATGTACACTGTGGGGTAAATTTTCAAAGCACAGCGCGTGGATTTAGCTGCCCGACTCTTATTGATGTTAATGGGAGTCACACGGCTAAATCCCTGCACAACACTTTGACAATTTAGGGTTGTATGTCTAAGAAAAGGACACTGGTTTGAGCTGATGAAACAGCTGGAAATGAAAACCCATCAGAACACATCCTCCTGAAAGTTGTCTGGTGTGACAATAAGAAATTTAATTACTAGATATACTTGTGTCCTAGTTCTTTGTGGTGACACTTTTTATCACCAAGCTTCTTTTTCTAATATCTGTCTGGCTCACTGTGAGCCACTTGTTACTTTCTTTCAGGTATCTAAAATTTTTATTGCCCATAGGTTTGTATGTTTTATATGAGGATGTCAATAATATATGTTTAAAAGAAAAAAAAATAACTTTCAGTTTTCTCATAGGGAAATGGGTTTTTAGTGTTTAGTAGGTAAGCTCTGTGTGTGTAAGGTAGAATATTTAAAAGAAACGTTTTAGTGATGCTTCTACATGAATTAGATCTATCATTTTTACTGAGTTAACTAGAATTATAGTTTGATAGAAACACAGATAATGCAAAAATCAGTCATCTATTCATTAAAAGACATTAGTAACAGAATGCACATTACAATTTAGATTTTTTTGCATGCTGTTATCTGTTGTGGAATGGAGACAGTGAGGAATGCATAATTTCATGTGGATCATACTTTTTATCATGACTTTCTGATGGTATGATAAAATAGTAATTCTGTTCTGCTAACCTTTATTTGGCAAATCAGTTGGTATCAAGATTTATGCTACTCAGTACAAATTCCAAACATAGAGCTTAGAGCTGTATGAGTTTCCTTCAGGGTAAAAATTGTTGGTTGACTCCTTCCCCTCCTTTCCTACCTTGACCTCCGCAGAAAGATTTCCCTTTGAAGCAGGATGCCTGAAATTCTTCCAAGAATTGTCTATTTGAAAACATTTCTAAGCATCATTCTACCACAGCTTCCGAAAATCTTAGTCTTGTAAAATGCAAATAGACACATGGATTTTTTAGAGGTCTTAATTTAAGATACATTCCTGAGGTCCTTATTACTAAGTAAATTTCTTCAAATACATTATTCAGAGAAATGTAAAAATCTTCAGGGAATGTTTAGAATTATTTTTATTTATTATGTATTATTATATACACCCTGCTTTCATTAGTGATGACACAGATTTGTTTTGAGGGACCTTTGCTTAGTTACATCATTTTCCCCTCTCCTATTAGAAGTTGTAATTTTATTTGAACTATAGACTGGGGGCTTTTGTATGTATCTAACTTCTAGTTAGGTTGTAGAAATTAAAGGTGGAGAAAACCCCTTGCTTGGCTATCTTATTTGGCACTTATCCTGGAGGAATATGAGCCAATATTTTTCAGTGAAGAAATAATACAATATTCTGAAAGCCTACTTTTAGGAGCAAATATATTCATCTTGATATTATTTGGTAATAGTACTTTTCTTTCTTCCTTCTGCCATATATCCACTTAATGCAAACATCTTGTAAAAGAAGATTAATTTTTTATAATGAATTTTGAAGTTTTTTATAACTTGATGATCAGGTTATGTATCACTAGAACATTGTTGACTAGTTTTAGTGGCCTATTCTAATATTGATTATCCTCTCACTTTTCATTCTGTTTTTTGAAGACTTTTGTTTTCTTTTTAAATGAATTTTTTTTTTACCCAGACTTATCAAATAGAAGCAAGAAAATATCTTCATGAAGTGTAAATACTATGCTCATTTGCTTACTGGGACCTTCAAAAAGATCTCCAAATCTTGGTGCTGCACCTTTAAAAAGTAAAATTCCAATAAAAATCCATTAACTACTTTCAAATATAGCAATCCTCCTGTCCAGCTGTGAAAAGTACTAGATGATACTTATTTGCCATTTGTGTTATTTACGGTCCATGACTTTTATGGTAACTGGTTCCTATTATTGGTTTCTATTAATGTAAAACATAAGTGAACATAAATGAGGCGTGAATCATTTCTTTTTATTAGCCCCACAGTCTTCACTCAGTGCTTGCAGTAACTCCAGCTGTGACTTGTTAGTGATAACCTATTTAAAGAAGGATATCTTTAAGAATAAAGGCAGTGAGTAGGATTCTTTGTCTGTTCATAGACTCAAAATATTTTATTAGTTCATTGCAAGATCAACAATGACAAAAATAAAAATTAATTGGTAATAGTTTTAGGTCTGGGGTTGCCATTAAACTGTCCTGAGTGGCACAGGGCACTAATTATATTCCAGGTAAGTTCTTAAGGGTTAATGCTAGAAATGAGTTATATAGGATATGTCACTTCAGCAGCACGGGAGACGACTTCCTGCTGCTATTTGTCCATGTTGTTAAATGGTAGATACCAATACAATCAGTTATTAAACATTATACTCTGGGAAAAAGAGACATGTATTTTTAAGAATTACAGAGTTAATGTGAAATTAGACTTTTCAGAAATGAACTATACACCTATAATACTGAAGTAATGAATTACGTTAGAAGAATTGTATCTTAAGCCGTGCATTTAGTTCCCTTCTAGGTAGGTTTATAGTTAAAAGGGCATGTTCTTTAAAGTTTCTTCTATGCAAATGAAATACTTAAGTTTTCTGCTCAAGTAGAATTTAGATATAGTTAATGCTTGTTTTTTATTTCACCAATATGTTTTTCTAAGTAAAGACAATATCTTCCTAATCAGTTCTGACAACATATTTTTTTAAAATACTAAGTCTTTATTAGTAGTTAAATAAATTTGCAGTGCACATTTCTCACTCTCTTTGAAGCCTTAGAGTATGTTATCAATCTTTATGTAAGTCTCTACCAAAACAAAGTGCTTTAATTATTTTGTAGGAAGAGTCTTGCTACACTTCCCAAACATTCTGTGTTGTGTTTCATCAATGATATGCCATGAATAAAAGAGAGAAAGGAAAGAATTGTAACCCCAAAATAAAATACTTGTACTATCCTACAACTTTCAGGGGCCTTTCCGCAATCCTGCTGAAGTGTTGCAGCAGCGCTACAAGCCTTTGGAACCAACTCTGCGAGTAAGAGAATCAATGTATTCACCACCAGCCAAGGCCAAAGAGGCAACACAAAGGGAGGAATGGAGAAATCCCTTACATGACAATGAGTGAGTTCTTTGGTTTTTCTTATATTGTTGTGAGAATGTTTTCTTTATTCCGTTGCTTTCAGAAACCTTTCATGCCTGACAAAATGAAATGTCAAACCTGACAGCTTACTAGAAAACATTTTATGTATATACTTCTAAATTCTGTGTCCTTAGATTATAAACTGCTCAGGGCAGAGACCCTATCTTGTAATTGTGTGACATGTGCCATCTATATCTATGAATCTGTAAAAGTACTTGCAATAATAATAATATGTGATGCAACAGACGGCTTTAATGGGAAATAAGAAAATAAATGCAATTTCTGTCTTGCCACATGCATCTTGCCAAGGAAAAAAATACTGTTTCAGTCTTTATATTCTGGGAACTTACTGGTTATGGGAGGAAAAATGGTGTTGCATGCCAATGAGACTTGTTTTCACTCCCAGAAGGGTACCACAGCTCACTTGGAAGGGGAGGGAGCATATGTTGCATGTTAGAACATGATACAAAAACTGGAATCATCTTTGAAGCAGTTTGATTTCTTAAGCCATAGCAGCTGTAATAGTGTCAGACAGGCCAGTTAGTTTCCATAAAATCTCAAATACAGGCATAATCCATCCCAAAGGATTAAGGCTTCTGTCCCAAATGATTTAAGGTTATTGCCAAAACATTTGTTTTTTTGTTTTTGTTTTTTTTGGCACGGTGGACTGTTAAACACTGTTTTGTCCAGTTATAATAAAAGCCTGCTAAGTCCCTTTCTCTGGCTTTGTAGTTAAATAGAAAAAGAATTATGTTTTGCCAACCTTTCCCTTGAATTCATTGCTCTTGGCAATCCTTTGGCCCTTCAATACCAGAATTCAGGACAGAAGGGAATCACTTTTCCTCATGAGCAGCCTATGTTCATTGGCACATGATGTTTTGCTATCTTTGATCTCTTTCACACTTTTTTATCAGCTCCATATTGCTATGTGTAAACTTCAAGACTGGGACTTAAGACTGCCAGAATCAATTGTGTTTACATGGTTTAGCTTCTATGTTTTTATTGTTGGACCATTTCCCCCAATTTAATATTAATAATATCTTTGAATGAAAATGCTACTCAAAAACGGTTTTGAAATTAAAATATTTTATTTAGACTACTTTTTCACTTTTGGACAACGTTTTTGGTGGGTTTTTTTTGTTTGTTTGTTTAGTGAGCGATAGCACTTTTTATTCCTTTAATACCAGTATAATAACGGAGTTCAGTTACAAGTAAACATATACTCTCTTTTCTATTTCTCTCTGTATTCTTTCATTTATTGGTGTGAGGAGGAGGAAACAGCTTAATTTTCACATCTCAGCTTAAATTTGTGCTTTTTTTCTTTTCATTTTTATATCTAATTTCTGCTGGTGAAATTTAAAATAACCCCTATCACTACGTAGTAATGAATACACTACCTCTCATTTAAAATGTTTTCTTCCTTGAATTAGTTGTGATTGATGCATTCCAACTGAGGATAGCTGATGTTCTTCATTTATAGGCATAACTATATTGCCCAGTCTTTATTTGATGAAGTTTACCCCAGACATTACTGTCAACACTTTCAGAAGGTCAGACCTTGCAATAAATGTTTCACTGACTCTTCAGTGAGGGAATTGTGAAGATTTGGTCTTGTACAGTTTAAATTTGGAGCCTCCAACTTTGGTACATATTATTTGATGTGGGGTCTTTATTTACCTTATGGTTAAGGAAGCATTTAATTCCATCCTTAATGCACAGAAGCAATGTCCCAACAATCAATGATTCTCAGCTTCATGCACACTAAATGCAAAGTGTATTATACATTTTCAGGCTGTGATCATTCCATTTGTGCTTCTTATTCAACCAACCATGCAAGGGTCACATCTGTAACCTTGAAAAGGTGATGACAGAGCTGCAGGTCATCACCAGGACTAATGCTCACTAGCAATGCTGCAGCTGCTGTGTGGGATGTTGGTCTCCAGGGAGGAGCCAGCAAAGGGTTACTCAGATTCTACAGTAGTTTTTTCTCAGCAGTGTCTATTATGAATTGACAAATTTCTGTTTCTTGCCATGTAATTGTGTACTTTGGGACTTTATTTCTTCCTGGTAGTGCTTCCTATGCTGATTATTCTTCTGTTTTAGAAAATAAGTAGAGAAAGAGCAGCAGAAGTATGTGGTATTTTTTTGAGAAAGCTTGTGTTTGCATGAAATGACAGACTGAATCCTTGATATGTATATTTCTAGAATGACTACTGTGTGGGATCTCTTAAGACAGAAAGATTGTTGGCATGTATACCTGAAATTTTTAGCAACATTCAGAATTCTCACACACCTCTGATTATAAAGGTTCTTAAAAGCAATTTTTACAGGATGATAGGATGAGTACTGCAAGCTCTTAAAGAAATGGCAAGAAAGTTCTTGCTTTTGACAAAATGCAGAAAAAATTTGGAAAAGCTGTGAGAGAGTGAGGCAGGCAGAAGCAGTACAAATGAAACCAAAAGAGAATATTCCTGTGCTTGCTTAAAGCAACTGTTGGAATTTCCTATTCTATAACGGAAAAGCAACTGGGCAATCCAGTCTAATAAGAATGATTCCCTTTTCTCATGTAATTGAAGCTGTTACTACCTTATTGTGCTATTTTTCATACAAATGAAGTGATTTCCCCCTCCACATGGATAGGAATGACAATTGCATTCCTTTGGGATGGCCACTTAATATAGTGTCTAGTTTGAGACACCAACTGCTGGGTCCAGTGGATTTAGACAAAGCATAAGAAGTTCTTTCCTCACTTGTGTGCAGCCGCATGCTGGCCTAATTTTCCAGAGGACAAAAATGTAAATTATTTTCATTAACTCTGATGAAATCTGTCTCATATAACATGCCTCATACTTCAAAGTATATTAATAAACATCTTTATGAAGTCAACAAACATCAGAACGAGATGCAGTGTGGTGATAGCAATTGTGTAAGGCTTAGTTTCCTAATTTTTTGTAGTCTTCTGGTGTGACATCAGAAACATCATCCCAGCTTCTGGCTCTGTCTGTGCCCGGTGCTGTGCTGGAGATGCACAGCCTGGTCTTGGCCGCACTGGTTCACTCATGTGCAGCAATGTTAGCACATCCTGTCTCTCCTGTGCCATGTGAATACAGCAGCGCCCGGTTCCTCATGGGCTTATTTTCAGCAAGATGGTGCTTTTCATTACAGCAGCTCAGGTGCTGCTGTGCTGCCTAGTATTAATGGTAAGAAAACTTAAAATGCAGGTCACTTTAAGTTTTAGAATTTAAAAAAAAAAATCTTTCACTTATAGAGTTATAAAATATTTTACTGACTTAGCTGCAGTGAAAATGGCTAGTACATTTTATGTCAAACAAACACAACATATCTGAAAACTTTTTTCAAATTGCACTTAGTTTCTTATATGCTTTGCAACTTCAGCAATTTGCATATTTTCTGGACTGTTATTGTATTATGATAAACAGGGATTATCATATATTTTCAGATAATGTTTTCTTAACAATTCAACTTCTATTTGTAACTCTTCCATTTATTTTAATTACTAGCACAGTGTGCAACATTTATTAATCAGCAGAGTCTTTTTAAGTTAAAATACTAAATTAGCTAACCCCATTAACACAGAATACTCCAAACAAGCAGTAATAGGAGAGGTAGTTACTGTGCAAATCGTATTATACATGCGGGTGCTCTAGGGCACAGTTAAGCATGATTACCCTCTTTTGATCCAGTATTCCTCTGCTTCTTCCAGCTAATTTCCACTGGAAGTTTACAAAGTAGTGCCTTCATTTTTCCATCTTAATTTTTCTAATGAAGTTCTGGTACTTTATAGCACTGGGGATACAGATAATAAGTCTGTGTATAATTAAGAAATTCTGGAATTTGCTGTAGAAGGGATCTCTTTTACTTCCTACAAGAACTAGACTGTGCTTTTATTTGCCACTTTACATTTTTGCAGACAGGAGTTAAATAAAAATGGCCAGAGGATTTTTAGATTTAGTGATGTTACAATCAAAGTAATCGATACTTTTCCAATAAACCATGTATTTAGTATATTACCAGAAACAGTGTTTGTACTGATGCACCCAAGTAGGTTTCTCATAGCAAAAACAGTGCACTACAGATAATGTCACTTGATATGCTAAATAAAATATATAATCTTTATTCTTGTGTCTAACACTTTGATTTTAATATACACACATTATAAACTAAATAATGTCTGCCCTGCTGCACTTGTTTTGCTATGGAAAACCATTATGCTTCCTTCTTTGTTCCCCAAGTGAAAAGATAGACACTATTTGATTTGATAAAAAAATTACTTCAGGTATAATCCAAATTTGAAAGCTTAAAACTGATGTAATGTTTTATGAATGCAAAAAAAAAGAAGATAAAATATTCACAGATTCCTGATAGAGAAGCATGGCTTGTTTGGAGCTAATTGGTCATGGAGTTCTTCAAAGTGAGATAAAATAGTCTTATTTGAATTAAATCAAGACAACAAGGAATTGAATTACTATTGTATAAAAACACTTTAGATAAAAATTTAACAATATCATAGGGTTAATATTTTGCTGGCATCTTTTCTACTAAATTACAAGAATGTACAGTATATAAAAATATGGAAGTTTGAAAAACCACATAAGCAGTATTCTGTTTTATATTTCTAACTGTGCCCTGGCAGTGCAGCATGTGTGTCAGTCCAGCAGATCTGGCAGTTCTTAGAAGTCTGGGTATGTTTTGAAGCATTTCTGGGATCAGTATCACCTGCTTGCTCCACTAGACTGCTGGAATTCTGCTTCATGGGCAGGTTTGGAGAATATGCTGAAGGACCACTCTGTTTTTTTGTTGTCATTTAAATTTCAATAAAAAGTCCTGCTTCTGTCCTGTGTCCTATTGGTAAGTACCATATAGGATTGAGACACTGCTGCCCAGCAGTCGGTGATGGACCTGTGAAATTGTCTTTCCTGCTTGCGGTGCTGTGCTCCTCTCACACTGCCATAGACACGAGAAACCAGCTCCTGCTGCTGCTTCTGTCATCTCTGTCAACCCAACTGGGAAACATTCAGCATCTAAAAGGCCTCTTCCAAATCCTGTCAAAATAGTGAGAGAGATTGCAATAAAAGAGACAGACTAAAGGGAAGAAATGGTAGGTAAGGAATGCAGGAACAAAAATCATGGAGGGGGAGTGTAAATGTGTGAGGGACAAAAGGATTAGAAAGGTGAAATTAATAGTAGATGGAAGGTCCAGCAAAGGATGACAGATAAAACAATGTTTATTTTTGTTAGCAATAAATATCTGTGGTGTCTTTAAAATTTAAATACCTCTAGCAGCTGTCAGGTCCTGGTTTGGCTACTAAGCAAAGGCTTCTAGGTATTTTTAGGCTAATTAGGTTCAATACAGAGGGGTCCTGGCAGCAGTGCAGCTGGCCTTCATCCCCAGTGACACAGCCAGCCTTGGTCCTGGTCCTTCTCAGGTTATGTATGAGTAATACTGCCACTTGTGGTTCCCCATTTTTGGTTCCAAACCTTTCCCCACTTTGAATGTATTCTTTGGTGTCTCTCTCATTCAGGCTGAGATTAAATATTTTTAAACTTTTCAATATATCTATTTGGGGAAAGTTTACCTTCCATTAAATAATATTTTGGGTAGTCTCAGCTTATACTGACTTTGTCTTACAGCACAATAAAACATCAATACAGAATTTAATCCTTCTATGATTGGTACTTCTGCCTCTGTCATGTTTACTGAAAACCTTTAAGAATTTCTGAATTTACACTTAAATCACAAGGAAAAGCTGAAACCTAGATGTAGGAATAATGAGTGAATGTTTTGAAATCTAAACTATTGAAATCTAAACTTGTACAGTTGATAATGGTATCCTGCCATTGCCTGAATTTAACTTTCTTCTTCCATCACTCTCTTCTATCACTTGCAGAGCACATACTGTTATTAATTTTGGGAAAAGCTGTGTCAGGTGTATACAAAGAGCTACAGAACATAAAACCGTTACTGAAGTGTTTTGCCGTGCTATTACTTCTTGCTATTATTATTGGTTGGGGGCGTGTAATGACTTTTGTATTACTCCCATTAATTTGGTTACCCTATTTAACACGAAAAATTGTTGTAATTTTTTTAATTACTTATTCACATAATAAAAATTCTCACTTTAAGCAGACACTGAATTTGCAAGCATGTGATCCTTTCTTGTAGCTACAGCATCATCACTTTAAGGATATGCCCCCTGACTCTGAGAGCAGAAGTATAAAGGGAAGAAAAAGCTTGTATTACACCTTATTACATTTTTGTTCTTTCATTTAAAAGAACATACTGCTAGCTGTGTCTCAAAGTGTTAATTTTGGAGGGTTTTTTGGAATCATAGTAGAACCTAACTTACTCTGAGAATTTGCTTGGCAAAAAGACAAAGATTAACTGACCCACAGTAAAATCAAAACCTCTATATAGAAATTTCTTAAGGAAAACTATAATAATTTATTTCTGCTGTCCTCAAGGTTTTTTAATAATTTTGTGTATAAATTTTACAGACATGGTATTCATGTTAAATTATAAATGCTATGTCTCAACTAAATTCTGTGCATATACGGGCAAATCCCAAAACTGCAAGCCTTGTCTTCTCAGCTATTCAATCCCCTGAGAAAGCCAATTTTCTTTAATGTCTGAACAAAAGAAAAATGTACTATTAAAATGCAATTCAGAGGTGATAAAAACTGCAAGTGGAGCAGCCAGCTCACAGCACCTTCGATGTATTTTCTGGGACACTGGGGCCACATTAATTTTTGTGTGTGTGTGATGTCCATCCCATGTGCAAATTAGCATTACAAGTACCCTAATCTGTCTTGTGTGAGGGTGTCCTTTCCCATGGGTATACACATGCTACTACTATAGCTTTTTATTATTTAAAAGTCTGCTAACTCAGGGTTTTCCTTTCACTAATTTTATATGACATTTGTTTGTGGCATGTGATAGAAGTTGATATAGCTGGAAAGATTCTAAAACCATTTCTTTTTATGAGGTGAAAAGAAAATAATTTTAAAAACCACTCAAACAGTTTCTGATAAATCAGTTAGTCAAATAACTGTATCAGCTGTGTCAGCTGAGAGACAAAGGGTATTTTAATCCTTATTTTAATCAAAATTTTGTTTGCCTAACTCTTATAGTGACTCTGGATTCTGAAAAGCTTTCAGCTAAGGAAGGGTTCTAATTAACTACACTTCTTGTCATGGCATTTAAAAGTGATGTTTTAAACTTCTGAAGCATATCTTTCTAATTTTACTGACATATATTTTTTCCTTCACTTCTAGAATTAAGAAAACATGTTGATTTTTTCAGAATACCAGCAATGATAAATTTAATTGCCCATGTTTTACTTTGTAGTAAAATGTACTTGTTTGCTCTCATGACTCTCCTGGAAACTGAAATAGAAGGAACTAAGATGTGTTTCTAGGGTGTCTTGCCAATCTTGTATATACAAGATGTTTTTCACCTTCCTTCCTACAGTTTGCTGTGGAACTTACCCAAAAACCCCGTGGTTGTCCATGACAGTTAGGGACATCCATCTGAAAACCCCTTCCATCAGGTTCACTGCTCGCTAGCACTATGTAAGCAGCAAGTCCATCATCATTATGACCAAAAATGAAAGAACCTGTCTCAAAAAGATCACTATTTAGGATTTAATTATAACTTAAGAGTGAAGTACACAGTCTGTGAATTCTGAAGAAACAATTTCTTATTAGTTTTGTGGTTTACAAGCATGTGCAAGTTTCTGCTCTGTTAAATGAGATTTTGGTTTATTTAGCTTTGGTTATACCAAAGGATGTCTATCTCCAGAGGTGATCTCTGTCCTCGTGCATGGGGGGTGCCTGCCACTGGCAGCTGGCACAAGCTGCACTGCCTGCTAGGACCTGAGGTATCAGCATGCACCTCCCAGCAAAGGGAGCACCCTGATCGTCCTGCACATCCCACCAGTTCTTAGTGCAGATACAGACAAAGTGATAATCCACTCATGCCAGTGAACCAAGTTAGTACCTTGTACACAAAATCTTCATTTTATCCTGCTGAAACTCACTATCTCTTTGCTCCAAATTTAATCTGAAAGAAGCTGCAGGAGAGATTGCAGTAATTTTCTCACAATACTAAGAGGGAACATTAATAAGATACTGAAAAATATCAGCAACATGTGTCTGTGACATCTCCTGCAGCATTGATTTACATCAATCATGTGGCACCTAGAGAAGAGCATAAATGATTTTAAAATATTCTTGAATTTCAGATTTCTGCCATTTTCTTCATATCATAAAAATGATGAGAAGTATGAGCCATCACTTTGTAAGTCAGGCAAATATGGACAAGAAGCCTATGGAACTAAATATTTCAGAGAAGTATATCCTAAGAAGTGGATAGCAGACAAGGTAAGTCACTGCAAAAATCAAGGATTTATTTACTTTTTTAGATTGCTATCTTATTAGAACTAAGTGAATTTCAGTATGATCCAGAGATCATGCAGTCCAATGGGATTCTTTCTAGCATGTTATAAAATCACGTAGTTAGAGCTGTGATGAGATGTGAGATTTCCTTGACTCTGGTAAATTCAGCCAGGTTCAATTGAGGAAACCCAACACCTGTTGGTCCTACAAGATCAGGCTTTAAGATCCTGATTAAGTAAAGCTCCCATTACATACATTTTGCTAGGTTTCATTCTGTTTGTTTTGCCTTTTCTGATTTAAGAGAGTTTGTATATTTACTCTTACACATTAGGGTAAACCTTCAGGAAATTATAGCAAAACCTGATTAAAACAACACAATATTTTACTGCTCACACTCTTTAGAAAAATCTTAAAACTAGTGAATAGCTGTTTTTTATTTTAAGAAGACATAATTGCCTGCTTTGTCAGGAGCATCTCATATATGTCTGGTTTTGTAGTGCTGCAAGAGGTAATTTTTCTCAGAACATGCATTTGTGTAGGGTTTGCATTACTTCTATTTGTATTAGGTATCTTAATCACTTTAAAATTTCTGAGTACAAAAAGGATAATGGACTTCGGCTCTGTGCTGCACTCTCTACAATATAGTTAGGGGACTAAAGCATCTTTTGTAGGAGTAAAGGCTGAGACAGCTGGAACATGTCATTCTGGAGAAGAGAAGGCACAGGGGAGAGCCTATTAAAGTGCATAAACACCTGATAAGACTGAAGGAAGAACAGGACCCCAAACTTTTCTCAGACTCCGTAGTATCCAGTGACAGGACAAGAGTCAATGAACACAAGTGGAGTGCATGAAATTCCATCTAAAAAAAAGAAAACACTTTTTTTTCTTCTTCTTCTTCTTCTTCTTTTGTGTGAGGTTGACAGAGCACTGGCCCAGGTTGCCCAAAGAGGTTGTAGAATCTTTATCCTTGGATATATCCATAGTCTAGGCAACCTGCTCTAGCTGAGTAGGGAGGCTGTAGAGGGTGATCTCAAGAGGACTCTTCTTACCTAAAGAATTCTGTGATTTTGTAAGATATGATAAATTATTTCCTTGAAAGCTGTTTAACCTTTGTAAATATAAAGCAAATTCCAAGGAATTTTAGTTTGAAAAGGAACATTTTAAAAAGATTTTTCCACAAAACTTTAAGGTTTAAAAATTAGCTAAGAGTAAAATTTTGGTATTTCAGTATGCATTAATGATATCTCCTTGCAAATGTAATATCAACAATCAAACAAAAAGATCTGAATTTGTCTTTCAAAAGCAAGGAGTGGAAGATATGACTGGCTGAAGACCCACAGCATAAGTATGATGTATAAAAAGATCTTTGTCTTATTTCTGGCACTCGTCCTGTAAAGACTTGGTTTTCCAGTTCTTAGTAGTTCTTGCTCAGGCTCAGATGATGATATCAAAAATCTAAAGATATTTATAATGTATGTCATATTACACATATATAAACTATGGGCTTAGCAAAAAAAAACCTCACTTGTGATCTTGGATAGATATCAACCTAAATCTCTGGAGGTGAATAGCTGTATACATTAACCCAACATGACACAGAGCCTTCCAACCCCAATTCTAAATCAATATGAAGCTTCCATTAGGAGCCACTTACCCTAGCAGAGAGATAAGAGGAGAAAAGGGCTATTTATGACATACCTACTGCTTTAATGGGTCATTATTATCAGGAAAAAACTCGAAAAGAACCACAAAACCTCAAGCTCCTCATGGCAATTTAATGGAAAAAGGCCTATAGGCAGGTGTGAGGTCATACTTTCCTAACTGCTAAATTTGATAGAACTCTATGTCACTTTCTTATTTCTAAACTGTATGAAAACTTTGAATACATCAGTCCTATGAAAAAAATGATCTGTTCTAATGAATCACAAGACAAAAGGGCATTTAAAAAATACTTTTGAGAAAAAAATGGATCTTTGCTTAATAGTTTGTCTGCTAAACACAACCCGCCTTTGAGTTTACCACAAGGTTATATTTTTGTGGATGCCACCTCTATTACAACCTGAGTAGCTGATAAAACTGATCTCTACTCAGCTTCTGACAGTCTTATGCTAAACAAGTTTCTTGTATTGTTGCTGGTAAGACTGTGTAAGTTCTTCCAAGGAGTGAAGTCAGTGGTCAGAGGATCAGTGACCCACCTGAACTGCTGAGGTATTATTTGATGTTAGCTGTTATTAGCCGGCTTTTTTTAATATTAAATACAAAAAGTTTCTTTGTGTGTGTGTGTGCACGAGCATGTTCTAGTTGTATTTTCCTGAGGTTTTCATGTGTTTATTGCTATGCAATTTAATTCAAGTCACAAAAAGATTAGTATGTAAATTATATAATTACTTTAGAAGCAAAATGAGCAACAATGAAAAATATTACCTTGTTACATATCTTCTGGAAAATGAAGCAGTATTAGCACAGACTTCCTCTAAACATAATTACTACCATATCTATGTGAGGAAAAGTTAGTAGTTCTTTTTTTTTTTCATCTAGTTATAATCTGAAAATTTTATCTCACTCCGTTTACATTTCAAAGAAGTTTGAGTTAAGGGAAGAAGTGTTCTGTTCTAATTCTTCATTATAAATAAACAAGGAATGGAAACACTGCCTTTAGTGAAGCTGAATCTAGTTAGTTTACTCAGTAAATCAGTATAAAACATAAAAATGCTTATATATTTTAAGTTTTACATTATCTATATAAATACTTTTCAATGCCTTTGGTAGAATTAATATGAGAAATTACAATGTAAAAAATGTACTAGTCACTAGGAATTTAATCTACAGTGATAGATTCCAATGTAGGTGGACAGTCAAGGGATCAAATAGCTAACCATAGTCTTTATAGTCTTTCAGCTGTCAAAACACTCACATATGTTCATATTTGCTGAGGCAGAAATGAAAGCTTACAGTCTTTAATCGGTATTTGAATTAGTTTGCATATGCATTTTAGAAAACTGACTTTAATGACAGCATTTAATGTTTTCTTATTTGTAAAATTCAGGAAGTGATAGTTTAAGATGTTCCATTCTGATAAATTCTTCTCTCTGATGCCTTATTATAGGTGAATTACAGTACAACTGAATCACAGTTTCATTATTTGCACAGGCATTTTGGCCCTAAACAGGATTTTATTATCTACAAAGCATAAAAATACCCAGGACTGCAAAGAATTAATTTAGAGAACCTAAGCATATTGCACAGAACATAAAGTTGACCTTTACCGTCTACAGCTTTTGGAATGGAGTGGGATGTGGAACACATCGTAGATTTAATGTGGCACAACGCTGTCTGCAGAAACTTGGGTGGGTCTGTGACTGCCTGCCCATTGCACCCGATGATTGAATCTGCTGTCACCAGCATCCTGATAATAATGAACATTCAGCTTAACGACCGTGATTATGATTATCATAATTGATGTGCAAGTGCAGTGTGTGAGGATCATTACAGCTGAACTGTACAGCAGAGAAACATGCCTTAGCTATTGATAATTTTACTTTCATGCATTGATTGGGATAAAATATGCCTTTCAAGTTCAACAGGCCAGCTTGATATAATTTTAGTAAGATTTCTACATGTATGAATTGATGCTTATGAGCTTCTGGCAAAACAGTCATTCTAGCTGTTTGTTTTGAATTGTTTCATTCCATTAATAATGGGAAATAATTAAATAATTACATGTTGACTAGTGGAAATCACTTATACAGTACTGCCAGCGTTAATCAAATATCAACTTCAAATAATTCTGATTATTATGGCCTTGCCTGGGCTAGGAAAAATAGCCCTCATAATTCACCACCAGCACATTTCTTCTTTTGGTGGAGCAGTGGAAGCAGGACTCTGGTCAACACTGCTGGCATTTTCACACTGTACTGCGTAGCAGGCAATAGTTGTTCCATATATAAATTATATCACTTCCATCTTTGTCACCAGAGGCAGAGAATTACAGGCTCGGATTCAGCCAGTGTAGATAAAGGCACAATCAACAGCTTCAGTTGCTTTTGTTCAACAGTGATTACCTTTAACTGTGATTGCATGAAGTTTCAGAAGTATTTAATTAAATCATGACATACATAACAGACAAAAACAAGTATGAGTATATATTCCAAGCCAGAATTTATATAAAGAATGTTACATATGTATAATGAAAAGTATAGTTGCACTGCTTTACAGTAGGCATAAATTTGGCTCTTTGTCCAAGAACTGACAGATTTTCAATCTGGGTTAATAGAGAAAACAGAAAAAAATCTTGGGGGTGGGAAGAGATTTTTTCTGTTTGAAAATTAGTTCTATCTCAACACATAAAACAGTCATGTCTAGTGGATGATGTCATTGTGAGGCAGAATTTTTGATACACTATTTGTGCTTTCCCATCCCTGACTATACTGAAATTTACTTAAATTCCACCTTAACTCCATTTTTCTTACCTTCCAATGATTTGACTGGAGATCATAGGCATGATTTGTGTGAAGTTTTAAATTCTTTCTCGCTCAGACTGTGATTTCATTTTTATCAAAGGAATTTGCTAGTTTTCATTTTAATTACAAAAGAAGATTATTCAAGATAAGATGTTGTGATACTGGCTAATCTGAACTGTCAGCTTTAATACTTTTTAAAACTGTAAAGCCCATATTTACCAGTGTGCTTTGTGACAGAAGTTACTAATGTACATGAGAAGTGTTAGCACATATTTGGAATATCAGATTCCTAATTCCCCAATTCAACCTCAGTGTGTTTTCCTAGACAATACAGATCTTACATAATGTAGCAGTCATAAGGGAATTATTAGATGGGTTGTAAGAATTTGCTTGTTCCAATCTTGGTTTCCTCATGAGCCAAGTCAGGGATAATAAGGTTTGTTGCCAAAATGGGATGCACTCCAGCAATCCCCAGCCCATGACATGGTTCCTGAATGGTTATTACTGCTAGCATGACTTGTTGTA